GAGAAGGAAACTGACTTTCCTATACAGGTTGCATATCTTTACCATGATTTTTATTATTATGCGTACAAAGGAAATATAGTTGATATTGGATGGAGATCTGGTTTTCCTACGTTTCCTAAGACCAAGAATATGAATTTTATGATTTACGTAGAGGGGAAATCATCATTTAAAGCGTTGAAAGGAATTGATCTGCCTTCCGAATTTTTAATTGCAATTTTAATTACTAAAGAAGAATATGAAATATTCGAAAAGCATGGAATGCCTCGCTTATTAAGTCATATGGGGAATGCAGAAAGATATTTTCCTTTCCCCATATGGAACGATAGATCTCGTAAAAGTGTCGTAACAATGAATGATTTGAAATCGAGCATATTAAACATGGCAGTATTAACGATGAGAATTCCAAGAATCAGCGCTACATTAATAAATAAAGAATTAATCAGATTGAAAATTCCATCACAATCTCACGCAAAACTGTGTGAAGCTATATCAACATTAGATTCTCAATATCCACTTACGATTTTAACCGATTTAGATGAAAGTGCGGATTCTTGTCTGGTCTGGAATAGTGTTTGGAAAAAACATCATGCAATTAGTTCAGGCTTCCTTAGTAATCTGACCGGCGGTTGTTTTATTACATTCTGCCCGAAGCAATCCGAGGATTTATGTATGATATCTGAAGATGGATTTGCTTTATTATTGAAAGATAATACTTACAAAATTCTTCTCCAAGCACTTCGTTCTCGTAATTCATTTAATATAAAATCAAATATGCTACACTTTCATCTTGAATTTGAATGGGATAGTAAAATTGACGGAAATGGAGTAAAAGATATCAAAGTTACTGAATGTAAGCTTACCAACTTCGTATTTCTTACTAGAATACAAAAACTTAATGAACGAGTAAATTGCAAAGCGCTTGTAGAATATACAGATGATTTATATAATGAAATTTCAAAGCATTTCTCTTCAATAGAAAAAAGTGATGGTTTTACCCTGTTTGTTGATTCATTTATAACAACGTGTGGATCTATTGATGTAAAGTTGGGAACACTACCAAAAAATTATGATAGTGCAAAAGCATTGTTTGATCTACTTTTACGCAATTTGATGTCAGTAAAGCCACCAATAGTTTATGGACATCTTGGTATTCGATTTGAGTTCATTGTTTGGGGTGGAATATCTGAAAAAGACGAAGAAAAATCTTCAACAAAAGAAGTGCTCTTTCCACATAGTACTAAAGCAATTGAAGAATCAGAAGATGATCAAAAGATACTTGATTTTATAAATGAGAGAAACTTCTTCGCAAAAAACTTTTCTAATTGGACAAGTGAAAATGATAAAATTGATGAATTATTGCGTAATTCTCAAATCAATCTTAAAACGTTTGATTATATCATGGAATGGATCCCATATGAAAACTTAATAAATATAGAATACCTTGCAGAAGGAGGATCTGCAACTGTATATTCAGCTAACTGGCGCTCTGGTTTTATTAATGGATATGATATGGTTAAATGTCGTTTCACACGCACAACAGGAAAATCAGTTGCACATGCTTTTCCTCTTGATTATTTCCAAAAAAAAAAAAAAATATGAACTTATTAAAAAAAATAATGCTGACAAGATTAAGTATTGTTCCGTGGTTTTGAAAAGGTTCAATAAAACAAAAGACAGCCTAACTTATCTATTATATGAGGTAAAAATTTATTGGTCGTCAGAATTGTTGCCTTTATTTGAAAAATTTGTCTTTAATTAATAAATTTTCAAAATCAATAATATCTAGTTAAGTCAATATCAGAAAATTAAGGAATGTTCAAATATTACAAGGTGTTTTGGGGTGACACGAAATCTTGAAACCGGCGAATATTTACTTGTTGTAGATTATGGTGGAATTGATCTCACAAGATTATTTGACAATGCAAGAACATTTTCTATTAAAATTACATTAAAAGAAAGGTTAGGCATTCTACATGAGGTGGCAATCGGGATTGCTAATATTCATTCTCTTGATATTGTTCATCAAGATCTTCACCCTGGTAATATATTATACCATGATGTAAAACTTGAATTCAATAATTTTGCGCGTGTGGCAATAACAGATTTTGGACTTTGCCGACCTGTAAATGAACCTTTCCATAGTGGAAGGGTCTACGGAGTTCTACCTTATATTGCTCCTGAAGTTCTAAATGGAAATCCCTTCACAAAAGCTTCAGACATATATAGCATTGGATCATTAATGTATGTACTTGAAAATGGTTATGCACCTTTTAAAGATGTTCCTCATGATGCATGCTTAACCCTAGATATTATTGGCGGGAAACGACCGCTACCAAGTAAGAAAGTTCCAGAATTTTATGAAAAATTAATGAGGAGATGTTGGGATAATGAACCCAAAAATCGACCAACAATAAATGAGATTTTAGAAATTGTAAATGCTTGGGTTAAACCTAACAAAGAGATATTAAAAGAAATAGAAAAGGCTGAAAAAATTTTTGAAAGCTATTCATCTACAGAAACTTTCAATTATCATCCTGAAGCATATTTTACATCTCGTTCTTTTCTGTCAATGCCTAATACTATTCATTCACTTGATGAAAATTTAATAATTCTGTAATAGTTATTTTTCAAATGCGTGTGTGGAACTGGCAAATTTTTATATTTTTTTAATTAAAAAATAAGTATATAAAATATATATTTTATGATTGAGTGCATAGCAAAGCCATATATGTCACATACATCAGCAAGTTGTTTTTTTATAAACTTTATGTAGCTCTATAAAGTTATATAAATATTGAATAAAATTTTTATATAGGTCTACAAACCCAATGTATAGACTTATATAATAAAGATTTTTATGTGTAAACTTTGTACGTAATTTTTATATATAATTTTATTTATTGTTTATAGAAAATTACTTAATTTACACCAGGTGTATATACACACATACTAATTTATTGATTTATGAATTTGTTTAATATATAAATTGTAAACGAAAAATTAGTATAGGTTAAGGTTATGGTGAGGGTAGCTTTAGGGTTAAAGAAGGTTATAGTTTATACTAAAATTTTGCAAGAAATCTTTTTTGTTAGAACCCCGAAGTGGGTTTTATAATCAAAATTTCGAGATATCAATATATGTGTATATATACACCTGGTGTACAAATAGTAATCGTCTTGTTTATATAAATATAAAATCCATGTAAATTTTATTTATATCTATATAAAAATAAATTAATTTACATCAGTTATTTCTCAAAAGTGACTAAGGTAATCACCGATCGATGCACTAAGTAAAAATGTTCCACATGCTTGAAAACCTTCCCCAAACCCCTAATTTAAACTTTAAAATCTAATCCTAGCTTTAATACTGAAGTTAAAAGTTTTTGCTATTTTACATAATTATACATAGAAATATATATAGATTTATATAAATAGATATGTAAATCTACATTGGGTTTATGTTTGTAAAGCTACATAAAAATTTTACATAATTCTACATAAAAATTCTGTATAATTTTACATAAAAACAACTTCGTGATGTATACTCTAAACATTTTTTGCTGTGTATAGTTTTGCTGCGCACTCACATAGTTATTAATAAATTTTGATAATTTCATATAATCAAAAAACTTATTACATATATACTGTATATTATTTATTACGGATGATGCTGAAATTTGGTTATATTTTGATATGAAATTTTAAAATTTTTTTGTGATGTTTTTTTACCGCTGTTTTTGGGTTAGGCTAGGATCTAGGGTTAGAATTTA